AAAAAAATGCTAGATCCTACAGCTTCGATTTTGTTGATACCACTAAACCATTCCAGCATTCCGTTTTTTCAAGATTCTGGCGATGAAAAACGATTCTCAAGCTTTCATTCTTTTTTTTCTCGCAGGAGTTGATGTACCAACATTTGAACATATGAGCTTTAGGTTTAACAGCTATGCGGATTCAAAGTCTTCAAATTCAGCTGCACTATGTATTTTTGATAGGAGCTTTGGGAATTTTCTCGTACCACAGCGCTGCTATATTTTCCAAAATTTTTCCTATAAATCATCCACTCCATCTGTCGGGGGAAGTAGATAGCAAATACGAAAGTGTTCGAAAAGTCTTCGAGTAAGTTTTTATAGTTTCGTTCCACTGGTTCAGCTTAGATTGAGTTCCGTCCTTCATTTCAGACAGCACTTCATAGATGGATTGGAGCCGGAGGGGGCTTCTCTTGCAGTTTACGTAGATGATAAGAAAGTAGTTGATTTATGGGGTGGTTACGCTGATTTTCAGGCGAACAGAATATGGAAAAAGGTAATTTTTCTGTGGCTTCGCATCCAAGCGTTCAATAACCTACAGATATTTTAGGATACTATTACTGTGGCTTTTTCAACAACCAAGGCTGTTGCAGCTGTTTGCATAGCTCTGTTGGCTGATAGAGGAAGACTTAGTTATGATGACCTCGTCTCAAAGCATTGGCCAGGCTTTGCAAAAAATGGCAAAGAAAACATCACCGTAAACTGGGCGGTGTCACACATGGTGAAATAAAACAAACTTCTTCCTTCAAGGCAAGAAAAGCTAGTTTATCATTTAGGCGGGTTTATACTATTTCGAAACTCCAATAACGAAGCTAATGGTAAAAGACCACAACCTCATAAGGGAAGCGATAGAAAATGAAACACCAAAATTCACGCCAGGAGAAAGGAGCGGTTATCATGCTCTTACCTACGGATATCTCGTTGATCAGATCATCAGACACACGGACGAGAAAAAGCGTGGGATAGGACAGTTTTTCAGAGAAGAAATCGCTCAGCCCAATGGTGAGTTTTCATGGTTTTGCTTGAATGCCAACAATGACGAATGGGATCTGCTCAATTACGCAAGCGCTGTAGTCTTGAGAGCTTATCAGTGTGCTAGAATGAAGACAGACCTTGCGGGACTATTCATAAACTATACAATTTCATTGAGTGAGTGAAAGTAAAAGAGATATTGTATAGCAGATTCGTAACACGCAAAGGCTGCGGACGTATCGGCGTCTCCCCGACCGCGCGCTCTTTCGTTTCTCTTACCATCTGCTGTCTCTCC